AATTGTCGGTTGATGCTGGTATCGTTGCAACTTCATACCACCACCATTCTCTTCCCAAGTCATCACTCACCAAAATCCCTCAAACTTTACTCCCATCGATCCCACCAATCGTCGACAATTGAGCAATTAGAGTTTGTGCAACTGCCCCTTCCAAGTCAAATTCTGATCAATCATGACCACTAAAATCCAACCTTCCACCAACAAAAGATTCACCGACCTCCCATCCTCAAAATTCCTAAAAGAATAGACCGAGTTTGCTCTCTATCTGTCGCGCAAATTGAAAAGTGTATTTTTTTAATAAAAAAATAGTATTTTAAAAGTTTATGAATGAGAAAGTATCATTAAACCATTATTTAGATAGCAAAAAGTCGTTAACTCCTAATATAACACTACAATACATGTCTCTCTTGTAATTATAAATTTATAATCTGAGTTTTTTATTATAAAAAAGTATTTTTATTTGCTAAATTCATATATTAATTAAAATCTTTTTTTTTTTTTAATCATATATTTACTTATCTACTGTATTTGACTTGGTGTGAGTTTTAATTATCGAATATTTTGATCACTAATTTAGACTTCAATTTTTTAGTGATCAGGTGAGAGTGTACTTATCATGCATGGATCATGATGGAACTTGGATCACCACGAGGAGTCTACCAACCAAATAATCCAACGGCCAGCCAGTGTTGACTATTCAATGACATATGGATCATGTGATTGAGATTCGTGGGGCCAGATCAACGACACCATAAAATTCCTCGTGACTAAGCATGACTAAATTATTTCAGTAATTGGACTTCCATGTTCGAATGTGCACTCCTTTTAATTTTATTTTAATTTAATTTCATGTTTAAGATTTTATTTGTTGAATTTTGATGAAGACTTATAATTAATCCTAGGATGGCACGTGTCATTTCTAAATATATGATGTCTCGCACTAATAATAGTGTTAGGTAAACAATCAACGACAATTCCTAAATCACATCAAGGAGTCCCAAAACCAAAAGTACTATCAATTATTAATAATTTTTCTCACCCAAAAAATAATAAAAAAACTACATGTTTACGTAAAGTTGATATTTTGTGATTCTGATAGTAAAAATTATAGGGTGCGCTCCCTATTTTTATCCATATTCTCAATCCTATTCTCCAAATAATGTTTGACACACTATTTCAGAAATATTACCTTATTTTTTAATTATTTTTAGACCCCATAAAATTATTAATTTCACTAAATACCCCCTGATTTTTTTTTTTTAAAATTAACAACCCCCCCCCCATCAACCCAACTTGTCAGATTCCGGCAACCACCGCTGATGATAGCCAGAATCTGTACAAAGGCCTAAATTCTGACCATAAATGGCCGGAATTACACCGATCTGGCCTTTTCCGCCGTCGTTGACCGAAAACGACGGCCACATCTTTGGTCGTCGCTGACAGCCAAAGATGGCCGTCATTTTGGCCTTTTCGACCGTCGACGGCCATAACATGCCGTAGATCTGGCCTTTTCCGGCCAGATCCGTGGTGGATCTGGCCGGAAAAGGCCATAATGATGCGTTACGGCACAGATCCGATCGGTCTGTGCCGTAACGAAATTTTCTAGCCAGATTCCAGCGGTGGCGGCCGAAATCTGACACTGCAGGTGGTGGGGGTGTTTTTTTCATTTTATATAGTAGGGTCTTTAATTAAATTAGTAAACCTAAGGGCTTTTTCATAAATTTTTCAAATTTACCTCGTAATACTCCCCTATCCAACAATCCAATACTATCCTCAAAATCCTATCCAAAATACTACACCAAACGCACCCATATTCGTTATCACCACTTAAACCTTAGAGTTTCTTTTTTTATCTAACCCTTTTCACTTTAGCACTTGATTCTTATTGATTATCGGTCATTCTTAGTTGATTTTTGACTGATTTTGGCAATAAATATTCAATCAGTCATTACCATTCAATCCAACGGCCCCCACTCTACAAAACTCCTCTTACCTTGATTTTTGATAACTTCATCGGTTAGGCCAGCTTATGTACACCTCAACTAATATTTCAGGACTCTAAAACTATCGACTGGGTAAGAGTTCTAATAGTCACCCTTATTAATAACTGAAGAGAGACTTAAATTTAGAAACTGTTGAATAATACACCTAATAATTCTTATCGAATCACTCGCCTATCTAAGGATTTGTTAATTAGTATTAGTTTTGTCTAACACACCAAAAGCTGGGGAAAGTGAATTGAATTTTCTTTAAAAGCCTATGAAAGAGGGATGTGGTTACAAATGATTGACTACTTATAAAAGTTAAACAAAACCAAGATTCTGAAGCAATGCTGAAAGTTTGAACACTTTTCAACCAAATCAAACCACTGGCATCACATTATTTTTTCCAATAAAGGGGAGTAAAGTAGCATCAAATTCTTGGCAACGAAGAAACACAAATGGAGGTCTGTTATAAGTTATTCACAGCTGTCTTCTTTCAACAACACACCATTGAATCAAGTCCACAGGGCTGCTTGACTTGCTCCTTTTCTGGTCTACAAGTAATGCAATTTGGCCAAGTAACGCAACTTCCTTTTATTTATTAACATTCCAGCCTCAAATTGACGCAAACCCTGCACAACTTTCTTTGACCCCGTTTACTTTTCCAAAATTAATCAACCCACCAGAAAGTACAGAAACTACCAGCTACACCCCCTCCCTATTAGTTCACCGGTTAGAGTTACATATTTACCCTTAAAAATGTATTATTATTATAATTTATAAAAGAATATATATATTTGAATTATGATATTATTTAATTAAAACTACCCCTGGATGATCGAGTGGTTCGATAGAGATCCTGAGTTTAGGTCTCTTCTCGATTGCTAATAGGAGTAATAATTAGAGTTCTTATCTAACTAGCAGTTCCACGATCCCGAGTGTAAAGGTGTGCGAAAGCTAGCATAGAGTCATAGACACTCCTGATAATAATAGAAAGAAGATATTATTTAATTAAGAAAAATTAAAACAACAAAAGATGATCATGATATGAGGCCTCACTATTTCTAAAGATCTAGCCAACAATCTCAGTGAGTAAAAAAAATTTAAATCAAATATTTTTGAATTTTCTATTTTGCCCTTGTCTCAATGTATTTTAACATGAGGAAATAACGACAGACGTACAAGGGTGTTTATTGTAGTTTCTGTTATTTCTGATGGCTGAAGTGTCGTTTTGAAAAAGCAGAGGGGGTGTAGTAATTAATCGTTATTTTTCGGTGGAAATAGTGCAGGCCAGCCTGCTTTGCCCAGTCACCTGTGGGTTATTACTTGCATTATTTTGAGGAGTTTGTAAGCATAAAATCAGGATCATTCTGTAGACAATTGATAGTTTTATGAACTTGGGTGGGTTGGATTTTGGTCAGCACATTTGATAAAGTCTCATGTAGAAATATAATAATTCGGAATCCAAATTTAATGACTAATTTATAAGGTAATGTATCTTTCATAAAAACGTCAATAAAGAATTTAATCTCTAATTTTCAAAAGGATAATTGATTCATTTATGATACGTAGCAATCACCCTCCTCATTTACCTCCAAATTTCAACATGAAATTTTAAAAGATTCAACATCTCTATTTATCATACTGACTTTCTACTATATATTTTAATATTTCAAAAAATACCCCAAATCCTGTTTTCTTAACCTAATTTGAAACTACAATCTCTATTGAACTTTTTTTTTTTTTATGATCAGGAGTGTTTGGACCAATTTATGCGTACTTCAACTAATCATCCGAGACTTTGGAACTACCGACCAATTAATAGTTCTAATAACTATTCCTATTAGCAATAAATGAGAAACTCAAACTTAGAACTTTTTGAATAATACACATTTTTATTAAACTTGTTTCGCTACTGAGCCAAAACTTTTTATTGTTTAAAATTAGAAGCAACTAATAGAACATACTTTTAAAGGAAAAAAAATAAAATTAATTAAAAAAATATGAAAACTTTGTGAAGACAACTGTTGTCATTTTATGTGCAAAGTAAATCCAAGTAGACCCGATAAGGCTGGCCAGCATCATTCGGGTTGCCTCACATTGTCTTCTTTCTTTATCTCTAAATTTTAGCTTCTTTTAACCTTATATTATGCCGATTGCTTTTCCTTCCTTCCTTCCTTTATTTATTCATATAAATGTTTAGATAAAACTAAACTTCCTAAAATGGCCTTATCTATGTATTTTTTTTTTTTTCAAAAAGACAATTATCTCAAAATAAATTCATGGAAATAAGTTTTTTTTTCCTTAATTAATAAATCCTAGATTAATTTTTAAATCGTTTTGATTAATGGACTGGCTAAGGGCATGTTCCATGTTAATCTCGTATTTAACAATGGAATAATTTTATCATAATCCCATTTTTAAGGTAAAAAAGATGTTTATTCTTACTAAAATGAATTTAAACAGGAGATACCCAATTGAAAATGCATGCCATAAACACTAAAATTGAGTCACTCTGACATATTTATCCTTTAATTAAGGGATAATTACCAACAAAAAAAACATGCAGATCTAATTAATCCCCAAAATCGGGAATCAAAATCTACCAGCTCAAATATTTGCTTTCCTTTGCTTGATTCACAGACAGCTCTTAAACAGATAAGCTTTGTAATTCTAAAATAAATTATTATCAATTTAAATAAATAAATAAATATTATATAGGTTAAAGAACTAATTAAAGTTAATAAAATCTTTTGGAATTAAAAACTACCATGTTAATACAAGGTCAATCTAGTAAAAGATTTGTTATAAAGTATTTTCGGAAAACAATTAAAATGTTTTTTTAATTTTAAAGCATTTTTCACAGTAGGGGTATTATGGTAATTTGAATGACACGTCAATACAACCTGGAGCAGCCAGAAGGTTAAAAAAGAAAAACCCGCGGGAAATATTATAACAAAGTTCAACCGGACAGAGAGAGAATTCCACGTGGCGGATTCTCTCTCCATCTCTCTCCCAGCTTTCATTCTCTGCCGCTTGAACTCCATTCGTATAAATAACACAACACAACTCTCTCTCTCTCTGTAACCTCTCCACTTCCATTCCTTTCGTATTCTTCCTCCGTTATTAACCCATTTTTGTTTTAACCTTCATATTGTTCCTCCTTTATTAATCCATTATTTTTTAACCCACTTCTTCAAATTCTTGAAGAATCTGCGTTTCTTTTCAGCTTCTTGATTCCATACCGAAACTCCCCGTTTCTTTAGTTTCTTGAATGCAAGTTCTTCGAATTACTTGATTTTTTCACTAGTGTTATTCTTTTCTTTGCTTGATTGATCTTCGTATTATTGAACCAAAAGAAGAGTATTTCTGGTGCTCTGTTTTTTTTTTTTTTTTCATAGTCAACCATGTTTGATGCCATGAGATCCAAGTTCTATAAGAAATCGTGAGTTTCTTTATGTTGGAATTCTGTGTTTTTTGTGTTCTTTGTGTTTTGTGTTTGTTGATTTTTTATTTTTTGGATATAGAAAATCGTTGTTGAAGCTTTCGAAGACGAGGCTGGAGACAGCGAAGAAGAAGAGATTTGCGGTGTATCAATATTTGAAGAATGATCTTGCTGAGCTTCTCAGAAACGGGCTTGATTTAAATGCATATGGCAGGGTAAATATCACTTCTAGTTTTGATTTTGCCATTAAAGATTATATTTTTCGTAATTTTCTTCGTGGTTTTATGCTTTTTGCATACGTTTTGGCATTATTGCCATATTGTATAAATAATCACAACTGTTTTTTACTATATTGTTTAATCTCAAAATATATATTTAAAATAAGATGTGGGATCTTCCTATTATTTTCTTCTGCTGGTATAACATGGCTTTCACGATAACTTCTGTAATTTTTCTAATTTATATAAATGCCTCCATTGACGTATTATGGCTTTGTTGCTGTTAGTTGTCACTTCTTTCTATAGAAAGTATCTTACACCAGTAAAAACAACCTTTTTATGCCGATTTTATCTCAAACATTAAATGTGTGGTGCCTCCAGATCCGTAATCTCACCTGTATGAACCACAAAACTCATTCTATTTGTAGTAATGCTACAAACTCCATGCAATGATTTGGTCCATGAGGTCAAATTATTGATTTCTCATATGAGTTTTTCATATGATTTTCTTTTGCGGGTGTATATTTGCTCAGCCCCGAAATAAATGGGAAATCTTTCTTTTGTAGATGATTACAAGCAGCACAGAATGTAATTCAACTTTGCATAAATACATATGTAATTACGATCCACAATGTCACAAGTTGGAACTGATTGATTTTTTTTTTTTTTAACGGTGAAACAGGTTGAAGGGTTTTTGGCAGAGCAAAACATGGCATTCTGCTATGAGTACTTGCAGCAGTGCATTTCGACCATCTATAACCAGCTCTCAAACATGGAGAATCAGAGGTTAATGAGACTAATTTTTTTTTTTTTGCTTTGTTTTATATTTAAATTTTTTTTTCGCTTCTCTAACATTTTGCCTCAATTGGGTTTTTTCTGGGATATTGACGAACTTTTTCATCTTCATCTTTCAGAGAATGTCCTAGTGAATGCAGAGAAGCTGTGGCAACTCTGATGCATGCTGCTGCTAGATTTGCCGACTTGCCAGAAGTACGCGAACTCAGAACTGTATTTACTGAAAGATATGGGAGTTCCCTGGAAAATTTTGTCAGTAAAGAGGTGAGAATCCTTAAATTCACTCCAAAGAGTAGAACACTTTATGCTTAGGAATACTAACCTGGTCAATTTTTTATGTAGTTTGTTGCGAGGTTAAGTCCAGAGGCGCCCTCACAGGAGAGGAAGATTCAGATAATGGAGGAAGTAGCACAAGAATTCTCCATTCTATGGGATCCTCGGTCTTTAAGAAAGCAGTTGTTTAAACCGGCACCACCAGCACAAGTAAGCATTTATGAAACCTTTATATTGCACAAGGCAGAGGGATACTCAGCAGGATTGTCTTGTTGAATACAATTTGATAGTACTTGATCTGCCAGAAATCTGATTATTCAACATTCATGAATTTCCTGCAGGACAAGCCTGTGCATCGAACCCTTCATGATACTGACAATGATGGATACAATAAGCATAAAAAGAAGGATGATGCCTTACCGGTAAGGGACAGCCGCGATGGTGCAAAAAAAATGAATGATGTGAGGGTGCATGATGTGCCAACATCTAATAGAAAGAAGGACGCCCCTTATGAAAGGTACAATGTGCCTAGTAGTAGGGAAGATAATGACAATGATGGATACAATAAGCATAAAAAGAAGGATGATGCTTTACCGGTAATGGACAGTCGCGATGATGGAAAAAAAGTGAGTGACGTGAGGGGGAATGATGTGCCAACATCTAATAGAAGGAAGGATGCCCTTTATGAGAGGTACAATCTGCCTAGTAGTAGTGAAGATGAAGTCGTTTCGAATCATAGAAGAAGAGACAGCAGCACCAGCCAAGATAGCCAACGGACTGGTTCGAGTTCCGTAGGAAGTTCTGTTTCTGAAGATGAAATTGATAGCAGGAAGCCCGTTCGCTATGGACTTATCCGTCCCCCTTATGTCAAAAAGAGTAATGCCAAGATAGGAACAGAGGAGCCCTTGAGATCAAATGATCATGTAAATGCAGAGCAAACCAATTACAAAGATCCTCCAAATGTGAAAAGCAACTCGAAACTTCCACCAGGGCGTGAAGTCGCTGGCAATAACTTGAAACCGCCACCAGGTCGTGAAAGGGCTGGCATTGGTATGGCTCATAAAATAAGTCCACGTTTGCAGTCCATACTTAATGATGGTGGGAATCTAAGCGATGAAGAGGAGAAAAAAATGGATCAGCTGTTGATGCATTACAGTAAGAAAAAGACATATTCTCCTGCAGGACAAGATATTGATGACACTTATGGAGCGGCGAGACAGAGAATTTCAAGAGGAAATGTATATCCTCCTCCGGGAAAACAATACGAGGAAACTAATGGGACAAGGCACAGAAATGCGAAGTCTGAGGTGCCTGCAGCACCAGCAAGGGCTTCATCTATGCCACCAGAACAAAATTCTATAGATGAAGCAGCGAAAAAGCACGGTCGAGCCAACTCATTGCAGCCGGAGATGTTGGCAGGTCACGTGCATCCGAAGCTGCCGGATTATGATGACTTGGCTGCAAGACTTGCAGCTCTTAGAGGGCGATAAAATAACTAAATGATGAGCTACATATAGCATCAGAAGCTTAGAAATTAACTAGTTTCAATTCGTTTATATTCATGATTTATCTAAACATTGATTCATTCCATGTTCTTCTATTGCATTGGTAGTGTTTGAAATTATCTTCTGGATGAAAATCTGTACTCTCTTTGCAAGTGAAGATAATCCATTGTCTATGTAATGTAACTTCAAAGCATATATTAAACTAGCTGTTTGTACAGTATTTGATGCATATTTTTAGTTTCTACTTTCTAGTTTGATTATGTAGCTACCAAAACAGAACACAAAGCCAAGAGCTTTTTGTTGATGTTTTATCTTTAGTCTCATAAAAGAAAAAGAGGGTTTATTTCCTCCACTTTAGATCCATCCACTTTGTTTATAAAGTATTAAAAACACCTCTGTAATCATCAAAAATCTCCTTAAAATCATAAAAAAACCCCTCAAAAGTTATCAAAAAATCCCTAATAGGGGTGTTTTTAATACTTTCTAAATCTTATAGGGGAAGAAAAAAATCTTTTAAAGAAATACATCTGAATTCTGAGGAGGCATTGATATGAAATCGCAAAATAACGACGTCGTTTTCTGACCCAAATCGCCTTCGTCTTCCCAGAACTACTCCAATCAGTGTCCTGAACGCGTGTTCTTGAAAAACACACGAGAAATGGACGCCGGAGAATCGTCAGAGGAGCAGACAGAACAGGTGATGAGTGAGGTCCACGTGGGCTGTCCACCTCACTCCCCTGGACCCCACATCTCACACTTCACCATCTCCCTTCCACCTGGTATCACCACTTTTCTCTTTTCTTCTTGCCCTGCAAATTTATGCATGCAAAAAACAATAATTTTACTTTTGGTTATTCAGAAGTTGAACCCACAAGATTCAACGAGCTGTTTAAAACTGAAACTGAAGCAGCTGAAGATGATGATGCAGTGTGTGAAGTACAAGTAATAACCTTCGACCGAGATGGTGATCTTGTTTTGCCTAGACGAGAAAGCGGCCGCAGTAAGTTCTTCTATCCTATACCCATGCGTGTTTGAGTCATTTTATTGTAACTCATGGCTGCCGGGATGGGCATTTAAGTTCAATTGGATTTCTCAGCTATATGTGAGGGGTTTGCTACAATACTGGGCCAGGTAACGTTAATGGGCGAATGTTTTGGACACTTTTGGTTTTGTAAAAGGTTTTTTAGTTACCAACAATATGCAACTCCTTTATTTAGTACGGTTATTAAAACATTGTTACATTAAATTAAAATGTGAATAATTTGATAAAGAAATAGGTGATTGTATTTAATACATTTTTTGCATGAAAGGTGGGAAAGTGGAGACTGGAGAGTGTTTTGTGCTTGATTTTTTATCTGCAAGTGTGAGCACATCTTAATTGAGTCTTACCTTGCTCAAGTTCAAGCATAGATTGTTATATGGAAAAGATTTTTGCTTTCATGAGTTTTGTTGTTGCAGGATGAATGTGAATTTTGTTTACTAATGTGGAATATGGTTGTGTAGTTGGGTTGGTGTGATGGTGAAGTTGTTTTGAATTCAGCCCTGCTATCAAACTCAATGTTTTGTTAGCTTTGTGAAACAATGAAAGAAAAAGGGAGTATAAAGTTTGAGAAGGATAAGCCATTCATTTTCTTAAATGTTTGGTTCATATGAAATAACTGGAGGGAGTAATTTTGTTTTCTTGAATTATGCAGAGCAGTATAGACAGTTTTTTAAAATGACCATCCAGCACAATATTACATCATCAATTCCAAGCGTTGGTTTGCAGGTAAAATTATTGGTTTGACTACCATGATTTTGATACACCGTTTGTGCCACATTCCCAGCATACTAATGTCATTTGCTTTTTCAGGTATGGAAAGCAGAATTAGTGTTATCAGATTTTGTGATGCATAAGATGTGCACTTCTTCTGAATTCTATGGAATTGTTTCATTAGAACTTGGTGCTGGAACAGGTATCCTGATTATTCTGGATTCATGATGTATCTCAGTCATGCATTATGCTACCTTTCTTAAAAGAAAAAGAAAAATTAAGCATTAAAACATTTCCTAAAGGATGACTTTGTCCCTGATGGCAATAACCTTCAGATTAGCCAGGCCTTGTTAGAAAAATCTAATTTCATCTGCTTTATAGGGCCTGGTGTTGGTTTACTTGAACATTAATTATAGAGAGATGGAATCATGGAAAGATAGATTTAGCTCCTTTGTCATTTGAGTATTAAGTTCTATTTTTTTTTCCAGAAAGTTGTTATAATAGTTAGGAAAATTGACTACAAATTTTTTCCCAAAAGTTGGGAAGAGGAAAACCATTTTGTGGTGAATTTTTCTAAGCATGATTGTCTTACACTATACCTTTTGGATATACGAGTTGAGGAAACATCTCTATTTCTTTTCCTAGATCAAACTATTAGCCAATCTGAAAAACTAGAGCATCTTATACAAGCAATGTGATTTCTCTTTCTTTATCAGGGCTGGTTGGAATGTTGCTTGCACGTGTTGCTCGAAAAGTTTTCCTCACAGGTACAGTGTGATTGGAATTGCATGTTAAACTTTGCCTCAGTTGAATCTGTATCTTTTATTTATTTGTTGTCAAGAAGATCGAATTTACCAGATATTTTAGGAAGAGATTCCTGCTTATATTGCCTTATTGTGCGAATTTTCATGTTTGTTTTTCAAGACAATATATGTGATATTTTCTTTCCTATTCTCTAGATTAGCAAAATTTCCTTTGATTTTCCCTGGGGAAGATCCTAGCACATTACATACACAAATTCATGTAGATCTTAGCCTCTTGCCTTTGAATTCTTGGCAGACTATGGTGATGAAATCCTTGACAACTGTGCTAAAAACATTGAACTTAATTCTGGAGTTTTCGATCGTCGAGGTTCAGTTAATGTACGTGAACTGAATTGGATGAATCCCTGGCCACCAAATATAAGCTTGGCTGATTCTGCATCACAAAGGTTATATACATGTGATTTTATTAATAGACTATTCCACAAGCCAGTAATACTTAATGAGTTTGAGCATTATTTTCTCCACTTCTATGATTTGTTTAATATATTTGAACATTAAATAATTTGGGAAAGTAAGGTATTTTGTTTGATGGTGACATCTAGGTATTCTTGGAACCAATCAGAACTAGAAGAAGTGAAAAGAGCTCATTTGCTTGTTGCCGCCGATGTTATATACAGTGATGATCTGACTGATGCTTTTTTCAGTATTTTAGAGAGATTAATGTCGCTGGGTTCAAAAAAGGTACTGATTGATGGGGAAGTATAGTCAGCAATAGATAATAGATAAATTATATATTTGGACAGATCAAATAAATCTGTAAATGACGTCTTGGGATTTAGATGAATCATTTGAAAGGTGTTTTAGGAAGGTCATGCTCATGAGATCTATTTATCAATGAGGGTGGCAAAACAATACAAGATAATGTATTACGAACTCAATGTGCTTCTTATTAATGATGTTGCACACAGCATATTCTACAGATACATTGTGTTCCAAACACCAAATTGTTGTCAAATATGAATTCTTTGTAAAGTGATTAAGTAACACACATTTGGATCCTCTTATTTTCAGGTATTATACTTGGCACTAGAAAAGCGTTACAACTTTAGTATCAGTGACCTTGATGTTGTGGCAAATGGTTATTCACATTTCAGAAGTTATCTGAGAGAGGAAGGAGGCAAGTATATGACTATTAATTTGTACTCATTGCCTTGATTTTCTGCATGTCCACTTTATTTTTACAGCATGGCTATCTGATTAATGATGCAGAAAGTAAGAGTCCTGAATGTGGATCGACACCTTGTTTTGTGGGTAAACGCATTGATCTTAATGAAATTCCTCAATATGTAAAAGAGTATGACAGAGGAAGTGATGTTGAGCTTTGGCAGATAAAGTATAACAAAAAGTAAACCCTAATCTGGAGACTCCTGTGACTTGGATTTTGAAGTTATTATGAGCATAAAGGACTGCTTGCCGGTAATCAATCTCTTTCTGCAATTTAACTTCGTAGTTCATAACTCCATAGCGATCTGTTCTGATGCTTGTGCAACATGTACCAAGATCTTAAGAGAACCAAATTTAACGATACGGTCAGTAATTGATGAAAACAAAAAATTAGAAGGAAATAAATCATAACCATATATTACATTATTTTACAAGTGTCATGAGATTTTTAAAAGCTCAAGAGAGCTCAGAGTAGGAGACAATCCTAATTGGTATTGTAATTCCTTGTATTTTTAATAGATTCGAGTGTTTGAGATAGAGATATTTACCTCAATATGTTAAAGAGTTTCATAGAAAGTTTCTGTAAATGTTGTTTGATTATTGATCTAAGACCAAATTTATGATTGGCTTTTCCATGCACGTATACTTGTTTTAAAAACACAAAAGAAAAAAAAAATGTACATAGTATAGACTATGAGCTAGTTGCCAAAGCCTACATGTGAGCCGTTGGATTGCCTTCATCAAAAAGTGATGGGGGGAATCCAATGGCTGACTACCCTAAAAGGCAAAAGCTTACAAGAGATTGTAAAATCTGAACTGTGAAGTGATATATTTCTTCCCATTATAAGCTCTGACAGATCAGATCCAAGGATTGTACCGGGGTTGACACTGTAAAAATGGACTGGACAGCCCATAACAAGAAGTGTACAGTGCAGCAGAAGCTTTGAATAAGTGCTTTTTAAACTTATAAATGAAGAAAGAAGCAGCAAAAGAATCTAATACTCAACTCTGGCTGCCCCCTGTTTGGTGGGTCCTCATTCTTACTTTAAACACCCACTAGAATTAATAAAAGATGCTGAAAGCACTTTTCTTTTCTCTCCTCAGTCCTCACCTCTCACTCAACCCTTCTCTTCCGATCCGTTATTCTCGATAACCTTAAAGCAGAAGCTATAAACTTCAACTGAAAAAAGTACTTCTGCATAGATCCTCTGCTCCACGTAGCTGCCATCTCCTCTCCCCCTACCAATCACATCCCTACACGTGGATTATCATGCACCCTTAGATTCTATTCCACAATATAATTAAATGGTAATATATTTTATATTTATTATTAGCTCATTTATATATTCGCTCTTAAATCACTGTGCCAACTACTATCTAATCCACATTAAACAAATCTTAGAATGGGGATTTGTTTATTAAATATTAAATTCACTGATATTTAATTAATTAGCTCTGCTTAATTAATTACCATTCCATTATTGTTCTCCAATCCCCATGTTCTTTTGTTTCACATTCCATCATGCCGCCGGGAAAAACAAATAAAATAGACAAACGAAAACGACGTAGTTGAATATAATATTTACCCATTAATACGTCATCGTTTTCAATTGGATGACTTGGAACCGTCTTCTTGTTCTGCATCAAGACAACTAAAAGGTAAACCAAATCTTCTCTCCATCTCCGTACAGTTAGCATAGCTTCACTCAACTTGCCCTCTCATTTCATCACTCAATTCGAAACCCCAGATCGATAAAACAGCTCCCCATGGGTTGCACGCAATCGAAGATCGAGAACGAAGAAGCCGTCACGCGATGCAAAGAGCGAAAGCACTTCATGAAAGAAGCTGTTTCCGCGCGGAACGCCTTCGCCGCCGCTCACTTCGCATACGCCATGTCTCTCAAAAACACCGGAGCCGCCCTCAGCGACTACGCCCACGGCGAGGTCCAAAACCCGCAACTCGCCTTTCAGAGCAACGCATCTCATCCGTCGTCATCGGTTACCGCCGCCGCCGCCGCCTCCGCCTCCGCCCAGGCGCCATTCGATCAACTGAAACCGCCGCCTCCGCCGACTCTACAGGGCTTCCCTGCGCCGCTGCAGCGGGCTGCCAGCATGCCGGAGTTCGTCAAAACGTCAAAAACCCGGGAACCCAACGGCGTGGGATCCCCTATTATGGAGGAGACCGACGCTGATGAAGAGGATGAAATTGAAGAGAAATTGATTTCGAGAAAGAGAAGCAGCAGTAGAAATAAAAGTGTGGATCATCAGAATGTGGTGGGGCCCACGTCGCCTGAAAGGCCGGCCCCACAGGTGCAAAGCAGTGGGATGATGTCGGAGCTGCACGATCAGCCTCAGCAAGAAGCGATGTACGATTTCTTTTTCAATCCGCATGGCCAACCAGGGTCGACTTTGGAGGAGGTGAAACATGACATGGTGTTTAATGAAAAACCAAAAAGAGAGGAGTATGTAGAGGAGAAGGTTAATGCTGCAGAGACGGCGGCTGTGGAGGAGGAGAAGGTGGCGGCAGTGGCGCCACCTGTGGAAGAGGAGAAGGTGGTGGCGCCTGTGCCGCCTACTGGTGAAGGAGGGAGTGTTGGGAAAAATTTGAAGAGAGTGAAGGCGACAGGGGGAGGAGGGGAGAAGAAGATGGTTAAAGGGAGTGTAAATCTGTTGCAGATATTTACGGAGCTGGATGATCATTTCTTGAAGGCCTCGGAGAGTGCTCACGATGTTTCAAAGATGTTGGAGGCCACCCGGTTGCATTATCATTCCAATTTTGCTGATAACCGGGGTAATTTTGTAGTGAAGAGCTTATTTAACTTGCCTGTGAGGATATAGGATCTAAATTGTGGAAATGTGTAGTGTCCTGTGTGTTTTTGACGTTATAGATAAGTGGTTGTTGGTAAAATTGCAAGTTAGTTGGCTTAGTGACTGAAAATTCTAGTTGTAGTAATTGTGTTTAATTACAAGAAATGGCTACTTTATAACGTTACATAAAAATGATTATGTTTGAGTGCATTGGTGATTTGCTATAAAGAAATTGATTTTCAAAGTGCTTGAGAATTTAAAAGCTAAACTGTGGACTATGATACTGTTAATGAATAAATCACAAGTTATTTAGGCTGGAATGATTTCCAAATCTACTTATGGTGTAAAGTTTGATTAATAACAGGGGGAATCAGCATTATTTTGTACAAACAAATATTTTTATGCAATATTGTAGTGGTGAAAAAACTGAGATATTTATTTGGCAGTATAATCTTGACTGTTTAAGCAACTTCTCTGTCCTGCTGATCTAGGTGATGATTTTGAGGATTTTTATAAGTCCGAGTTCTGTTATTTGGTAGTAATTGTTTACTGAACTGTTTCACAACAAGTTTTATTTTTTGGTGATATAGTATAAAGAGACTAGTTTGTCATTAGCTTGCTATTTGCACTGCAGGACACATTGATCACTCGGCAAGGGTGATGCGTGTTATTACATGGAATCGGTCATTTAGAGGAATGCCCAATGTTGATGATGTGAAGGATGACTTTGACTCAGAAGAGCATGAAACTCATGCCACTGTGTTGGATAAATTACTAGCTTGGGAAAAAAAGCTTTATGATGAAGTAAAGGTATGTTGGAGTCTTTCTGCTTTGACAAATTTAATTTAATTTGGCTCTTATACTGCCTTACTGTCATATCTTTTTGTGTGCTTGACTTGATCAATGAATATTTTCGTGTTCCATACTGCTTGAACTTTTAGCTAATTAGCTTATGTCTAATTTCAAATGTCTGTATTTGCAAGTGGATTGCTGCCCTCTTCATAGATTTCATTGAATTAGTTGAAGTAAAATCTAGATTAAGATGCTTGGAGGGAGGCAGTTGTTTCCATTAACATGCTCGAGTTCAAAATGATTCCTTTTCATAAAACTTTGTTCTTAAAAACTGAAGAGAGTGAGAATGCAAAAACTATTACATTTGTTCAAAAATCAGATGTCTAAAATAGTGTGTGATTTAAATCCTGTTGTCCTTGTTGTAATGTGCTTGTGTGTAATAACACCATTCCAAATGATAGTTTATTTAGCTCCTTGTTTTTCATCCTTTAGATGTAAGGTTGCCAGAAGGATGGTATAACTGTTTGCGTGTAATATCTTCTGTCATGATGCTCCAGAAGTACATCTCTGCTTTTTCCATACATCTTTAACCTTTATCCTCTCTCTTTTGTTTGAATGGTATCAAACAATTAGTTTTGGTTTCAGTATTAGCTAACACGCTTACTACTTTGGTTTCTACAAAAGTGCTACATTCATGCTACATTTGACTCTGTTAATTTTTTTTTTTTTTTTGCTTCATAAAGCAAAGATCCACTTGTCTTGTCTTTGGGATCTTATTTGGGACTGATATTGCTGATAGGCAGGTGAACTTATGAAATTTGAGTACCAAAGGAAGGTTGCTTCGCTAAACAAGCAAAAGAGACGAGGTACCAACTCTGAATCGCTGGAGAAAATAAAAGCGACAGTGAGTCATCTACATACTAGATATATTGTTGATATGCAATCCATGGATTCAACAGTTCTAGAAATAAATCGTCTACGAGATGAACAGCTGTATCCAAAACTTGTTCAGCTTGTTGATGGGTAAGTTGCAGTCCGAACAGAAATTGACTTGTTAAACTTGCTTGAACTCTTCTTTGGTTAGCTTATTCAGGACAAATTTTTGTCTGGACTCTACTTTCTCACTTAAGAAGATGATTGTGTTTGTGGCTTGTATATTTACTAATGGTAGGAATCAAAGATATTGAGTTGAACAGTAGACAGTATGAGAATTATGGGGACTCATGTATATGGTTTGACAGTACAAGATGATTCATTAGAGGATGCAATAAAAGCATTATAGAAGTGTTAATGAATGTTGTTTGAAATTTGGTAAATTTTTTTTGCCTTTTAGCCAAAATTAAGAGAAGTGGGTTTGATTGGAACCAGCACTTCAATCTAATATTTCCAATGGGCTTTACAGTTTACAGGGGTGTTTAATTCTGTTATCTAAGCATGTGATGCAATACCACACCTGCATAGAAAGATTTATAATAGAACAATGATTTGATCAATCTGGCAACATCGAGAAAGATATGTACTAAATTTACAAAATCTCCTGTGAACTTTGATATTATTTTTTCTTATTATATGTGATTGCTGCTGTTTGGGGCTTCATGAAAAGCCCATATTAAGTGACTAGGTTTGGAGGACCGTTTATGATCATTTGGTCATACTAATTACAGAATTAATTTGACTTCTTAGCTCTCTGTGCATACTTTGCCTTCTTGATTATATGCTTTCAGGTGCTTATAGTGAGTCATAAGAATGCTCTATTGAGTCTCCACAAGGTTTTTTTTAATTTTAAAAACTTGGTGAAACCATAATAATTGGTGTATGGTCTGCAGGATGGCAACAATGTGGGGGGCCATGCATGGTCACCACGAGCAGCAGTCTAAGATTGTGTTCCAGCTAAAATTTTTGGACATATCTCAATCCCCCAAGGAAACAACAGTGCACCACAGTGAGCGCACCATGCAGCTATGGGCTGTTGTGCAAGATTGGCATGCACAGTTTTGTAAGCTTATGGACCATCAGAAAGAATACATTAAGGCTCTGAATAATTGGTTAAAACTAAATCTCATTCCCATTGAGAGCAGCTTGAAGGAAAAGGTCTCTTCTCCTCCAAGGGTTGCAACTCCCCCCATTCAGAGGCTCCTAATTACTTGGCATGATTATCTAGGGACACTTCCGGATGAGGGAGCAAGAGGTGCTATAAGTAACTTTGCTGCCATTATTAATTCCATTATGCACCAACAAGAAGATGAACTGAAATTGAAGGCAAAATGTGAGGAAATAAACAAGGAGCTTTTGCGCAAGACCCGACAATTTGAAGACTGGTATCAGAAGTATATGCAGCGGAGAACACCTGAAAATGTGGATCCAGAAGATAGCATGCACAAGGATGCTGTTCAAGATAGACAGTTTGCTTTGGATCTGATGAAGAAGCAATTGGAAGAGGAAGAGGAAGCCTACCAGAGACAATGCGTTCAGGTGCGAGAGAAGTCTTTAGCAAGTCTTAGAACTCACTTGCCGGAGCTCTTTAGAGCAATGTCCGATATATCCCTTGCTTGTTCAAGAATGTACAGGGAATTGAGAAACATATCACAGCACTAGAGGCCAAGTGAAATCTCATCATGAGATTGCATTTTGTAAGTTTGTATAATTTGTTTGTATGTGTCAATTGAAACTTTATATGCTTTCTATACAGAACAAGTATATATTTATTGTCATTAAATTGATGTGCGTTTCAATGAAAGAAATGTTAATTCATCTGAGTCTGCATGAAATGCTTCTTCCTGGCGGAAGGAATACTCTGCTTCTGCTGTCTCTTCTCTTGCATAATAAGAAAATCTAGAATTTGAAAAATATATAGAAAGCAATTGGAGTTCCTTTAAAAGAATCCCTCTATGAATTTGGACATGCTTGCATAAATTTGATTAGTTTATATGCAAATTGGTAGATGTTTCTGAACTTTTGTCATTTATAACAATTATAAAAACCTGAGGGTATCTTATTCACAAATAATTTGCAACTCGTACACCTTGAAATGAGAATTATGGGAGCCAAGATTAACACACAACTTGAGGCACAATTCCCAGATTTTCTGTAAAGCAGCACGTTTTTACAAAGTGAAACTCAAAGAGGGCTGCGAGAAGAGCCATTTCCAGGAATCTTGAAAGAAACCAAGTCTCATCCTATGCAACAAAACCGTCTTCTTTTGTCAGGTGTCTCATGGTTTAGAGTTATCCCTGAAGACCTTGGAGGACTAATTCTTGCCAGTCTTTTTGCTGCAAATTATAAAGAAGAAACCATCTAAGCTTTTTCATGATAATTTACCGATGTTTGTGATGAACAAGAATCACAATGAAGATACAAGCGTTTGTTATTAAACTTTACCTATTTCATAGAAAAGCTCATTGATATTCTGCGCAGTTTTTGCTGAAGTTTCCATGTAAAACATTCCACTTTCTTGGGCGAATTGCTCAGCTTCCTGCAATGGAAGAAACAGAGGAAGAAAAAGACAGATTTAAATGACTTCTCCGGTACTGAAAGGGAAATGAGAGAGATTTTGTTCAAGTACCTCAGCTTCCACCTCTCTATGTGAATTCAAGTCAGACTTGTTTCCCACCAATGCCATCACCAAATTTTGATTTCCTGGAGAAAGTAACATAATCATAATGTGGAATTTTCATTTAAAAAAAAAAAAAAAAAAAAACCTGTGGTCTATATAGCACTACTTTTAAGATCTCTGTTTTTACCTTGTCTATGCAATTCCTGAACCCACTTCTTCGCTCTATTGAATGTATCCTGGAGCCAAGCAACATTACAGCAGTTATTTCTTGAAGAAATGAACATATATATAGATTTCACAATCACTTTCCTAATGTTTAGGACTTCTGAAATTAATACAATTCACTAGCCGTAGCCCTTATTTCACACTATCAGGATGTAAACAAATGAATGACTGATCTTTTTACCATCATTTAATCCTCTTCAATAAAAAATACAGAGGAAACATACTGAAACGAAAAATAACAGCATCTTGTTAGCAAAGGATTGTTTCATAAAACTGCCACTAGCAATGCAGAACCATGTTTATATATACATGTTAATAATTTATATATAACCAGAAGAAATATACTGAATAATTACCGTGCTCGAGATGTCATACACAACTACAGCGGCGGCTGCGCCACGATAGTACATAGGAGCCAAGCTATGGTATCTCTCTTGTCCTGCTGTGTCCCAGATATCAAATTTTACAGTGGCTTCAGTCAAGGATAATATCTGAGTGAAAAATGCTGCCCCTATTGTTGGTTCCTGCACATGCACATAACTAAAGGTCCTCAACTGTCCGATACATTAACAAAATAAATAAATTAGAGAATTGCAGAAGAAACAAGAATTGAGCATTAACCTGGTGATCGTAAAATTGACCTTTGATAAATCTTAATACCAAACTTGTTTTCCCAGTTCCCATGTCCCCCAGAAGCACCTGCAAATGAGATGTTGCAAAATAAGATTTACTGCCATGCTTAGAACAAGAATCAAGATATCTTCAATGTGGCAATTACAATATGAAAAACATAATTACAAAATGGTAGCTAAGAATTTTTTGTTTATATATAATTTCTTTCTGTGTTGAAATTCCTTATCTACTCTACAGCTTATACCCACCAAAGATTTGTAATTTTCTAAACTAAAAATCAAAATGTCAGATTATGTGCAATAAACTTGAAGATCGCATAAACACAACTCCTGCTGGCAGAATAGATCCGTTGTTTTATGAAAAGAAAGGCAGAAAACAGCGAAAAAAACACAATAAATGAAAAGAAAAAAAATAAACTGTATAAAAGTCAAAACATACCCACCAGCTTGGCTTGTATAATCTTGTTGCCAGGCCTTGCCATTGCACACAACTTGATGATCAATATAAGGTAAAACAAAAATAAAAACAAAAGAAAAAAAGAAACCCTTTGAGATAATCAAAACAGAACCAGTTTTGAAGTTGAAAAAGGAACCCAATGTATTGCTTCTGAAGAAACCTCAAGAATCAGAGAGAAGAAGAATGATTGGTTTGACTTTTGAAACCTGCATTGCACTGATACATATATCAGCTTTGACTGTTAGGTTTTAGTTTAATTTTGTTGTTGCGTGGGGCCACATCGTATCAGTTCATTGGATACAGGAGGACCCACTTACTAAGTAATTTTCTTGTCTCCTTCTTCTGGTTGGATGGAAATAATGGAATCAGAATGACAGAGTTTAACAAAGTAAATTAGGAAAATTATATCTCAGATTGTTTTGTTTTTCAAATAATGTAATTTATAGGATGCCATTAGATAAAAGGAATGCAACACCATGTGCTAATTTTACTATGTCAGGTTCAGGTATTGATTCAGTAACATTGCAAAACTAGCAACAGCTATTGGATCTTCCACAACTGTTAATTATTTGACCATTTATAGATGATAGTTCGACAACATTATTGAGACCAGCAAGAAAACATTTTCCTAAAACAAGATAAGTGAACTATCTCGGAGTGGTTGAACTATTCAATATGAATTTTTTAATATATTTTTCAAGAGGTCTTGAATTCAAATTCCCTTATTAAGAGTAGTTACTGAAACTCTTACTCGACCGATGATTTCAAAGTCTTAGGACCTTGACTGATAGTTTCAAAATTTTAGGCATCTCAACACTCCCCAGTTATCATTAAAAAAAAAAAACAAAACTACTGAGTGAGAGTTCAGACATTTTCATTACAAAAGTTCAATAAAATTACTTTTTATCTTTCCTTGATTATCTAGCTAATGATCATCATTCCACAAAGAAGTTTTTGAAGAAAATAGTTACATTATGGGGGTAATCATATCCATCGGTTACCTTTAGTTGAAGATGATTAAATTCAAGATTTTCTCTTACTGCCAACTTTTTATCTAAAAAATTGGAGAAGAATGGTGCTTTTGTCTCACCTGGCTGGACCCTTCCAATTAATTACAAGTAGATTCTTTATCTTGTTTAAAACTACACCTTAAAAGGAGAGCAAAGGCAAAAAGAGTGTGAGATAAATGGAGGGCATGCAACAAGCAACAAAGGTAAAGAAGACAAGGATAAAGATGGGAGCATGCTTCATTGATTAAGCCTAAAAAAAAAAAAAAAAAAGATATCGTCTAGATGGTTATCATCATCAAAGTGAATTCATGATATTTGAAAAAGTGAAAGCAAGGATAAAATAGTAACAGTATAATGATGAACCAAAATAGTGATTTCCATTTTCTTATAATCTATAATACAGATCTGTGAAAGAATATATATAAACATATATACTAGGATTATTTACAAATTGTTTTGTGTTTTATTATTTTATAGAACAAAAAGAAGCTGACTGAAGCCTAATAAAAAAAAAAATATAAACCTCAAACGACTGGTCTAACAGTCAAGACGGTTTGTTCTATTCGTTAACTTTTGGTTTTGAACCTTGGGCCGCCTACCACAAATTTGATTTGTGGCTTAACATTGAGCTTATAAGATGTTTAGTATACCCTGAAGATTAGTCGAGGTACATGCAATCTGGTCTGAACACGTCTATATATATATATATATATATAGACTGTAAGACGGTTTGTTCTATTCGTTAACTTTTTGGTTTTGAACCTTAGGCCACCTACCACAAATTTGATTTTTAGCTTAACATTGAGCTTATAAGATGTTTAGTATACTCTGAAGATTAGTCGAGGTACACGCAATCTGGTCTGAACACGCCAGTGACGAACAAGCAAGTTTGAGTAAATTTTTTCCAGTTCTTTGTCAATATTTTTCTGGACTTCAAAGTCAAGCACATAAATTCATATAAAAATCAAGTATTTTGCTTGAAGTTTAAGCCACAATATTCATCCATTAATTAATTATTCAAGTGAGAAGTCCTGCTCTGAGCTGGGGCCTGAGAACCCAATCCCCAAAAATCCACTCATTTCTTCATTAATAACAACAAAATTTCTTGTAGCCAAAAAAATACACCAAATTGGCCACTTCTCATTATTTCCCCACGCAAAAACAAACCAAATAAAGAGCAAACAAACAAACCACACACCTTCCTCGTCCCCAACACACTTTCCCCCCACAATTTCCAAACCAAAATCTCAACCCAGTAACCACTTCATGGCTCCCTCCAAAACCAACCCACCACCACCGCCGGACCGCCACTTTTACACCCCTCTACCACCCCAACCACCCCAAGACCAAACCTTCGCCATTCTCCCATACTTTTACTCCCCCACTTCAAGGCGTAACTGGCGCATAATCGTCACCCTTTCACTGCTTCTCCTCGCTGCTCTTGTTTACATTTTTTGGCCGTCTGATCCTGCCGTCAAGATTGAAAGACTTCACTTAACACACATTCAAGTCCACACAAAACCCTGCATATGCCTCGACATATCCATGAATGTCACGTTGAAGGTTCAAAATGTTGATATTTATTCAATGGATTACAAGACCGTGGACGTTGCGGTTGGGTACAGAGGGAAGCGGCTGGGGCACGTGAAGTCGCACCATGGTCACGTGAGGGCTCTTGGGTCGTCCTATGTTGAAGCTGAGCTCGAGCTTGAGGGTGTGAAAGTTTTGTCTGATGTTGTGTTTTTGCTCGAGGACTTGGCCAGAGGAGTAGTGCCCATTGATACAGTTACTGAAGTTTCTGGTCAGCTGGGGATCTTCTTCTTTGGGTTTCCATTGAAGGTAAAGTTTTCTGAACTTTGGTATCACTTTTGTTATTTGCTTGTTATTCAAGGTTTGGATTTTGGTTGAACTGACTTTGAAGTTAAACTAAATTAGTTTAAGGTTGAAGATGTGGCTAGATGATTAGTCACTAATCTTATATAAGAGTATTAGATCATTTTGTTGGTGGCATAGTGTCAGGCAGCCTGCAGGATTGGGTGGCAATGGCAGTATAATTTCTAATTTAGTAAAAACTAGTAGTAGGTCCCCATGGTAACTTTGTTTCGGTCTAATGAAGGCCATGAATTGATTCAACTTAAAAAGACCCTCCTTTTTTTTTTCACTGTCAAATTGGTCGTGTGCGCTTCAGGTCTAGGCTTGGTCGCTGGTTCAAGTAGAATTAAGTAGAAATCAATCAATCATGTATTTTGAACTCAAACTTGCATAATTTGCTGTTAGGTTTCGCAAGTGTCCTTCGACATATCTATTAAGAGGACTCGATCCTCAAAATTGAATCACATACTCATTCGCTAGTGATGCAGAATGTGACACTAACATGAAGATGTAACCTTTCGGAAATCACAGGCCTTCATCTCATCCAATTTAACAACTGTAAGACTTTATGAATTTGGGGTATTGGGTGTTTCAATAATAGTGTTAGGCTCCCACACTGAGAGGGAAAAATGGTGGATATGTGGTTTATAAAGGCTTGGACACCCTCTCTTGTCAAGTCAGGTTTCCAAGAAAATTTCTACTTAGTTCCACAAAAGGACTACTGTCCAACCCAATATCAAAGGACCATTGCCCAGCGCAATTGTTATTAATTTGGGAGTAGGTTCCTATCAAATGGTATCAGACCCAAACCTCGTTCGAGTCCATGTTCTGGAAGATTTGCCTTGGGAAAGGGCAACTAGAGAGAGTAAGCCACCCAGAGTGGGCAAAGTGGACGTTGGGTTTCGCAGTCGAGCCCATGTTTTAGAAGGGGTGACCTGGGAGAGTAGGCCACCCAATGAAGTTGTCCAAAGTGGGCCAACGTGGGTGTTGGGTCTCGAAGCGTGAGAGAATGTTAGGATCCCATATTGAGAGGGAAAAATACTGGACATGTGGTTTATAAGGGCTTGGACACCCTCCCTTAGCAAACCGATTTTTTAAAGAGAGTTTTACCCAAGCTTATAAAAGGACCGTTGCCAACCCAATTCTTATCATAGGTCTATCACTCAACCCAATTCTTAACAAAGGCCAACTGTCCAACCCAATTCTTATTAACTCCCAATTCTTATTAATTTGGGAGTGAGTTCCTATCACAATCATGGTTTCTCCAACACATACATTCATTGTTAAGCTTTACACGATTCATGTTTAGAAGATTATTAAATTGAATAGCAATCATCCTTGTATTTCTCCCATATTTCAACTTATGAGAGTGTCATAAAATTAATATAATGTTCTGACATCCTTTCATATTGGAGTTTGATATTATTTAACAGACAAAAGTATCATGTGAGGTTCTGGTAAATACAACCAGTCAGACCATTGCCCGTCAAAACTGCTACAGGTACTCATCGGAAGCCATTAAAATTTTATTTCTTTATTTGTTAACAATACCAAAAAAAAAAAAAAAAAAAAAAAAACCCAGTTCTCTGTTTAAATCGTACGATGTTATCAATCCTTGAGCTTCTGCATTCTAGAAATCTAAGTGGATATAGAAATTTACTTTGTAATTGTACTAACACAATCCATGACGATTTATCATTATCTTTTACTGTGATCAGTGATGATTGAAAGCATTCATAAGGTGTAGCAGAGCTGAAAGATTCAGAATTTTCCCTGGCCTAGTTATGTGTACAAATTGAATCAGGTTTGGGAATGTTATATATGAAAATATGAGGCATGTGATGACATCCTAATAGCATATGCCTGTTTTGTGAAAGTGGTGAACATAAATTCAGTGTAATATATGTTCATGTAATCATCAGATTATCTCCCTGAATCAGGAACCATATCCTTGTTTACATACAAGAATTTTTAATTATATTTGTTCAGCCAAGAAAAAACAGACGTGATCTCTGTGGCTTAAGATATATTCTTCTGAATCATACCATTCGCCCATGACAATAAAAATGAGAAAGTATATGTAAAATCGATATTCAAATTCTTGAATATGTCACACCACTACCTTGAAATAGTAAATGAACTAGACCTGGTTGCTCGACTAACCCACTTGTATTCACTTCGATGATATTTGCACCTGAAAGACCCCGGATGGGTAGTGGTTGAACACACACACTTCTTTGTTACACCACCGCCAGCAGCCACCTTCGATGGCTGTTGCTGCTGCCTTGCCGCTACCCTGACCGACCCGAATTGCCGTCTTTGATCAGTGCCACTAGGCGAAGGAATATCACAACTTGGATGACACATTAGTCTTTAATTAGTTTCTCACCTCTTCTTACAGTACTAGTGTGATTGAGGTATGAATTTATTTATAAGGGGGTTCAATTCTTAAAGACGAAGAAAGGTAGTAACTAATTAGAAAAAGAAGTTTGGATTTATTCTCGCAAAAGGGTATGCTTTTTATTGGGTAGTGGGATGGTGAATATGTAACGCTGTGAGTGGAACCAAAAAGGTGATGAAGCTTATCTCCACAGAATGGTTCTCTCTCTTTTGCAATTGTGGGCACTGGGTAGAGGCATGGACTTTGTCAAGAGATAAACTGACAAAACCTTTTTCTTGGTATTTTCTGAGTTCTTTTTGTTCTTATGCTAAGAGGAATTCTCAACCTTCTAATATCAATTTAGTTCATAATATACTTCAATATTAAGTGGTACGAGAATTCCCACACAAATCAAATCTTGTTTCGAAGTGTCAAGTGTCAACTGTTAAGCCAATTTCTAAGATAGTAATGGGACACTGGGCCGTATGGCCCTTGAATTAGAATTATTGGCCCAATCTGTTCGTCTTTGGGCCCGTATTGAACTAAGCTAGCCTGGCTCGTATTTGTAATGTTGAATGGATTCACTTTCTTTGATAATTGAGAACAAAATAAAGAAAAGAGAGAGAGGTAAAAAAGGACTACTTAATGCAAGTTTACAATTTGAGGTTTTTGTATATATATATATATCCTATTTGTTTTATTAAAAAACTAAGAAGATAAAGAAGGATTTGTGAAGATACATTTGTTAATCTTAGTCGATGGAATCTTAACTTACAATTAGTATATTATATTATATTATACATATGTCTATCATTGATAAATAAAATAATATATTTACAAACTTCTTGTACATTCATATATAAATTCATTCAGACAAATGGATGTGTTATAAAATTATTGGATGACTTAATATTAAAGATAATATGTCAAAGCATACAAGAATACTATCTAAGGAATAGTTTGTATACACAATATTACTCTAATAAATATATAATTATTATATTTAATGTATATTTCTATCATATGAAAATACAAATCCATCTTATTTTACAACAAATTAACATTGGCTTACACACTTCTCATAATGTTTTCATCTTTAATTTTAAAGTGAATTTATGATAATATACATATATGGTGTAATACATTCATTTTATATAAGAGTTTCTATTTCAAATATAGTTAAAACAACAAACCCATCTAACTTCATTAAGCCAATTAAATTGCAGTCACCTCTTGCTTGTGGTCCGATGACAAGCCTTTTAGCCATTGAGGTTAACTATACCAGGAGGTCTTGTGCTCGAGTCGCAAGAGAGATATCTACCACATTTATGCAATTATCTTGATCTATTGGATTTGTAAGGTGTTTCGTAACCTTGAGGATTAGACGTGTTCCAATATCGGTCTCAATACCTCAGTTACTTTAAAAAACCAAAAAAATTAAATGGCAGTCAACAGTCCTAATTACTAAGACATTTAAATTAAAATTTACTCTGCATTCAATCCAACTTCAAACCACTACAGAATGATCTTCACATGGGGTGCATTAAAAATAAATCTACCTTCACATGTCACATAATTTCAGGATTGATTTCTGGCTGTACCCTGAAATTTTATTAGCTACGAGTAAAGTTTACCCTTCATAGATTATAATAAATATTATTATTACTAATCAGAATCCCCCAGTTGGATTACCTTTTAATTAATAATTTATTGTACTCTATAACTTGACTTTGAAAACATTTGTTTATAAATAGCATAGTGCATGCACCACAGCAACACTCTTTTACTTCACAAAACAAATTCTGAAAGCATCCGCAACAGTTGTTTGTTGCCATTTCTGATCTCGCCATGGACATCAACACTTGGTGCTGCTCAAGCTACTTGAAAAGAGGCTACGATCGCATTAATATTTCGCTTAACGGATTGGTTTCCGGATCAGGAACACCGAGATGGAGAGTCCTGTGGAGGAAGATAATGAGAGAAAAGAAGGGAATTTTCGACTGTTCTTCGAGTAGTTGTACTCGTGTGCATGAGCCTTATGATCCTTTAACTTATTCGCAAAACTTTGATGATCAGGGGTTCATGTGGGAGGATCCTGATAACGTCTCTCGATCTTTTTCTGCTCGGTTTGCAGTTCCTTCAAGAGTTTTTGAGAAGAGTAGTGGATTTGAGCTGGTTTGATCAAAAAAGATGTGAGAATTAAGGAAACTAAACTGTATGTAATTTTGGTTAATTTTTAGCTTTAATGTTTGTTCAATTAGCCCTTTACAATTATTTTATGATATGAAGAGTTTTACCTAATCATGTTTATCATCTTCTTCTTCTCCTCACAACTAGAAACATCAACTACGGCGACGCAGGGCTGGCGCCGGCATAGCCAATTTCTGCGTCGCCAGCTTTCTACTCAAACGCAATAATGAACGTCGGAAAATCGTCGAGGCATCATGGTCAGAAACATGATGCCCCAACGCCACGGACAACATTAGTGCACTGCGAAAATGCATCGGCGCGGGAAAGCGCCGGCAATCGAGGCCTCCCCAGTTGGGGGCCTTCCTTTCTCTTAGATCATAAGTGAAAAAGCTTTTAGCTGTTACTTTTTGGATTGTCTTACATGAACTTTTCACTCTTGGTGTTGAAAAAATCTATTAAAAACAAAAGGGAATCTGCAGTATTTGTTTTTAGTTTAAGATGTTCTCTGAATTTAATGATGATGATGAGCCATTTTTTTTTTTTTTTTAATGCAAATGGGAAGATTTGATTTATTTATTTTAATTTTGCTGCATTTTTCATGCTAATGAGAGAATTATTAAAATCTTATTGATAACTTACTGGACCAGACAGTTCTTCAGTGGGGGCTGCAACCAGCTGTTTTATCTAGAAAAATGACATGAAAGCATGTGCTTAACAATGTAAACATTCTAAACCAACTTCAAACTAAACATAAACAAAACCTTGATTTCGTTTTAAGGGTTCTGTTAACACGTGATTTGATTTCATTTTAAGATAAGAACACGATTAAAAGTATCTTTAATTACAGTAAGATTCCTGCCCTCTTGACACCATTCCTATCTCTGCATTGGATTCTTTTATTAGTAGGGACACAGGATTTGACTATTCATATTTCTAACCCTATCTTCAAAGGTCCCATCTGTCTCTATTGTATAAATATTGTATATAAATTTCTAATGGTCAGAAAAGTATTAGAGGGCTCACATTCAGATCGCAGCCATGAATCAGTCCACTTAAGGGAGCATGCAGTTGAAGGTCGGCCCTACAATTCTACTTTTCTTTATTAGAAAGTCAAAATCTGAGCTAATAAAATACTTCTTTATTTCTTCAGTTGCAAGTCTCATTAAAATGTGGACTTTCTATGGTGGGAAAATAATGATAGAAAAGTATAGACAGGGAGAGTTTTTGGGATCTAACCAAAAGCCACAACCAGTGAATTCAATGTTCTGTTCAATGGTCCACTACTGTGTGCTTGATTACAAGTCAGAGTTTGAGTCCATTCCAGCCACTGATGTTAATGGCCAATAGTATATAACTGTCCTCGATAATTTCAACTTCATATACAGTAAATGTCGGTAATGATTAATTATTTCTTTTCCAAGAGCTGGAGGCATGTAAAATTGAGCTATTAGATTATAGAAAATTGCCCCAGACACTGAAAAATATGTTGCTCAACGCCATGGTGGCGTTGGCGCATTGCAACTGCACCAGCGCCACGTTCCGGCGTCGGGCTTGGCATAAGTGCATGTAGTTTTTCCTGTAGTGTCCTATCCTATGTAAAATAGGCCATTAGGCGAATTATAAACTTAAACATTAAAAAATAGAGGACTATTAAAACATTATTTCAAGTTTGGAATAAATTAAATAGCTATAAAGTTTTAAATATAATATCGATTTAAATGTATCGCTTAAAAAAGAAACTTATAGATAAACTTATATCGTTTAAGCGATTTAAATATAACGTATCACTTAAGGGAAAAAGTTATGGATAAACCTACATCGCTTAAGAAATAAGTTTATATTACTTAATCGATCATGAAAATATGGTCATTTAATAAAGAGTTTGTTTTTACTATATTTCCCCTAAAAATTCCGTAAGATTAGTTCATATTTATCAATGTGTTAGGGGAATTCTTGTATCATTATCCTAAAGAAAAAGTAAAATATACATGTAAAATATGTTTCATTAAGAAACTTATGAAACTTGCGTTGACATACTCTTAAAACAAATTAAAGTTGGATTACAACTAAGGAACCCCAAAAATAAAGGTTAGATGATCGATCTTTACTACAATCATGAAGCTTACCAAACTCCTATTTTGTTTGTTCTCAAGCCAGAGATACCCCAAAGACAACATTTAAATCAGTTGATGCAATTTCAATTTCAACTTCCATTAAAAAGAAAACAAAAAACATTTTCATAATCCATTGTAGAACCCACATAGCAAACGTATTGGATATGCGATTCTGCTTCTGGAGGTTCTATCATTGTACCAAGTCCTCAGTATTGATGGCCTCAACTACATACTTTATTATTAGCTTTGTGCTTCATAATATACAGAGGCCAATGTCACCTACTGAAACTGACAATTAAGTGCAATCATTGCCAGACTCAAAACAAAGGAACCCATGTACACAACAGTTTTTTGAATTTCATGGCAAATAATTTCTTCTTCTGGTACTGCTGATAGACAATTTCTGCATAATTCATTTTTCATTAAATTTTTCTTACCCTTTCTAGCAGTTGCCACATTAAGGGATGACATAATTGACCCACGTAAAGTCCTTTTTTACCAATCTTATTAAATATATATGGGGTCCAATATTCCGTCATCGGTCCCCTAATATATTAAATGAAATCCAAGACCAGAGTGACAGGGTAAGTTCTTACCACATTACCCCACTCAAGTAAGCCATTCTTCATTCCCAACTACTGCACTTATTATGAAGGCAAAAGCTAATGTAAGTTCAATACAACATATATAGTCCAGAATCAACTAAGTATTTTCTTTGGACTTAACGCATGCGTCTTTCATCTTCAAGTATTTGTTTTCGGCTTTCAAGCAAGCAACCTTCAACCAAAATGCGTCTGCTTAATTGAGAGAACTCAAATCTCTCTAGATCTTCTTTGCTAACAATATAAAGTGTGACAACATCCTACTTGAAAATTATGGTCAATCAAGATATAAAGAAGTTTCAATCAATGCCATGATCAGTTACTAATGCATTTCCAAGGAGTCAATCATGTCAAGAAATATAGGTTAGGAGAATAAAGCAGTTGAGATATACAAGTATAACCTGCACATTAAATTTTCCAACTACTGCGGCTGTATTGAAGGACTTAATTTTCTCTGGATTTTGCTGCAATGACAGCAACATATATATTAATTTAACTTCATGGTTTCAGTAAATCCAACAATATCACTTATTAAACACTCACCTAAAATTCTGCCAAAAATAAAATCTATTCGTGCTAATTAATCATTAAAATCATTCATACCAAGAAGTTATCAAATCAAACACAAAGGACTTGTGCATCTATCAAGCATCAAACTGATTACCATTTCATTTAAATTATATTATTTCGAGATTAGAAAAAAGAAAGTCATTTTATTTTCTATTTTTATGCAGAAATTAAGTGGAGGCAATGACAAATCCAAAAATTGGAAATGAGTGAATAGAATTGAACAACATTATAACAGAAGCTACACTAAAGAGAGGCCACAAACAACAACCACAACATAAATACTGAAATCAATGAAAACTGCCCAGATACTCTGGTACACCACCAAGCCTTTCTCCATAATTTGAATTGCTTGTATCAAGTTATGCTTTTCTTCCTGAGGTATCACTTTTTCTTTCTCAGCTTCTTCCGAATGCGTTCGCTCCTCGAGATACAATTGTGCAAGCACAATTGTCACATCGGTTAGCAAGAGAATGTAAAGAGGCCTTGAGGCCACAATCCCTTCTGATCTCACTATATTCATTCCAAAATATGGATAATCAATGTATGACAGAACTACCAAAAGGGCTATGATGAGAGCACAAAAGCTTCGAGTATTTTGCGAAGCGATTATGCAGGAATTCACTTGTTTGCAAGAGAAAAGATTAAGTTGATTAATCCTGCTTGGTTTTGGGACAGGCTGTGTGTCATTTAATGGTGTTTCAGCTATCAATGTCGCCGGCCATGGCTCTGATTTGGTCATGTCTTCTACAGCAGAAGCTTCTTTACTAGTGTCATGTTGGTGTTCAATTTGGTTTACAATTTCATCATATCTATTTTCCCCTGAAACCTTCACACCTGTGTCACGTTTCAGCAATGTGAAGCCAGAGGCATCAAGTGAACCGGCTGCAGCATCAATTAGAGCAACAATACTGTGATAAAGATGTATAAATTTCCATATACTGCAACAATTGATATAAATTCCCATATAAATTAAGAAATTTTGATCCAATTTAGGATCAGTTATCGTGTAAATAGCAGAGCAAACAAAATCAACAAAATTTATTGAATCAAAATACTAATAATCATGCATTAAAGTTGACGTTAAATAAGCAAACTGATAAAGAGAGAATACAAATTTTAGGTACCATCTTTTAGTGGGTTGGGATGATGATCTGAAGAGAGTGTTAGTGGGGATGACTGATTGGGCGGATCATGATCAGAAGGAAGGCTAGGGCTTTTGCCAGTGATGAGGGCCAGACGATCGGACCCTCTTGCCATGATTTTCCTTCTTCGTTCTTCTCTACTGTTGCTTGTTGCCATGATCTCTATCACACATGCAAAACGAATTGTTAACCTTGTAGTTTATAAAAATAAATTTAGCTATTTCTTAAGTCCAGTCAAGAGAGTGCAACCCCTCCAAAAATAGAGGTATGCCGCGCATGGTATTCTTTATTGTAAAAGGCGAAAGAATAGTTAGATTTATAATTCCATAGCCAAGATTGACTTGCTATATAATATGATATATTCTTCCTTTCATATATTCGTAGAATTCAAATTCCTTTTATGGTTCATGAACTAATTAATGTAAGAAATCATTTCTAGTTATGATTCATGGACTAATGTAATCCTTAATACTAAGAATGTCCCTATACTGATAAAAATTGACATGGTTGAAGCAATCAATAGTTTAACCTTCAACAAATCTGAATGAATAAATTGACATGATTTGAAGAAATTGTTGAGTACATATAATTTAAGTGATCTTTTTTCTATCTTTCCTTTACGAATTATAAAGTTTCAACTTGATTGGTGTTTCCTAGTGAGCACTGAGAATGCTTAAGTTTGTTTTTGAACCATTATGTTATCTATGTGGAAGTGAAGCTTAGTTCTAAAGAGTGAGGACAGTTTGGGATTAATGTAATTTTTATTTTAATCTCTTTATTGTAGAAATAATCATCTTTAAATATAAGTTTTAGACTGTTTAGTAAATTTTATTTTCAAAATACCACATAGAATTACCTATCTGCGAAGATATGAATTTTGGGATTGATAGCATTACTCTATTTTATAGAAGTGTACGGAATTATCCTCTATAACATAATTTCTAGTTTATTTGTAATCCAAGTCACTGCAGTTTCTTTCTCTCAACTTATTGTTTCCCAATAATCAATTTTCAAAGTAAAATTTCTTCTTTAATTTTTGTATTAACTTAATTAGATAATTTTGTAAATTTGTTCGTCTTCTTCAAGCACATAATGTGCATGTACTGCATATGGTACAAAATTAAAAGTCCAATTGCCAGAATTCTAGGTATTAAGCATGAGTGTTCAATTTGATTTAGGCCTAACTTTGTAGGCCCGTTAAATTCCAATCATGTGGGCCTTATAAATAAAGTGTTCATACCTTCTTTTCTTTTTTAGCATATTATATAATTCCAATTTTAAATAAGTAATTAATGTTTCAATTCAACAATCATCTTCTATCTGTTCAATCTAATTTTTAAATTAAAAATTAAACAAAGTGAAGAAGTTTACACACCGTATATGAGATTTTTTGATATATAAAGCAGTCTTACAAATTTACTCTTGCATATATGAGAAGTTTTCCAATTCTCTGTTTAAGAAAACAAATGTAGGGATATTTCTCGGCCAATAGAAATATGCCAAAGATTTGTTGAAGAAATTCGAAATGCTTGAATGCAAACCAATCTCGACACCGATGGAATTGAATGCCAAGATGTGTGTCCATAGGGGCAAAGACTTGGAAGATGCAATGATGTATCGATAGTTGGTAGGTAGTTTGATTTACTTAACCTTGACTCGACCTAACATTTCTTATGCAGTTGGTGTGATGAATCAGTACATGCAAAATCCAAAGAAGGCTCATTTCAAAGCAGTTTGACAAATATTGAGATATGTAAAGAGTACAATTGGTTATGGTCCTTTATATAAGAAAGACGAAGACTGCAAACTAGTTGTTTATTGTGACACTAACTATGCAAGAGATCATGACACCATAAGATCAACTATCGGGTACATGTTTAAGCTTGGTTCTGGAACGATTTCTTAGTGCAGCAAGAGACAACCAACAGTATCATTGTTAACGACGGAAGCAGAGTACCGAGCAGCAGCTAAGGCAGCTCAAGAGAGTACATGGCTTATACAATTAATGAATGATCTCAATCAACCAATAGACTATGCAGTTCCTTTGTTCTGTGATAACCAGTCGACAATATGCTTGGTAGAGAATCTAGTTTTTCATTCAAGAACTAAACACGTGGAAGTGCACTATCACTTTATGAGAGAAAAGGTTTTGTAAGAACAGATTGAAATGAGGCAAATCAAAACGGATGATCAAGTTGGAGACTTGTTCACAAAAGGTTTGAGTACTGGAAGTTCAAAAACTTTTGTTATCAACTTGGCATAGTGCAAAGAGTGAAAGCTGTTGTTGAGGGGGGAGTCTTAAAGATCAACCCTAGCCCATTACAAAGTCCAAATTATCAGCCCAAGGAAAACGAAAGTCTGGTCAACTTTACCTTAACCCAAGACAACGAAAACTTTTCTAAAATGTGGAAAGAAGATTTTTTGGAGAAGACTGTAGTAGTTGTCGGGAAACTCAACTAGATTTGTTTGGGGGAATTACTCAAAGAGTGCAACCCCTCCAAAAATAAAGGTATGCCGCAAGAAGTGGCCAGCACACGGTATTCTTTAGTAAAAGGCGAAAGAATAGTTCGCTTTGTGCTCACCACACGGCTCCATACTTATAATCAGGCAGTTGACGCATTTTATAAAAGAAAGTTCAGGTTCAGAGTTGTATCTTCTAGGCCATGTGGGATTTTAAAGTTTAATAATATCTTCAAAGTTTCATGTATGATCCATTTCAAGGTTTTAGAAAAATCCTAGCTGCTCATGAAATCACTATCGCAATTCTTTACTCTTTAGTACTCTCTACCTGATATTGCTAGATCCAATTCCCTGGTATTGTTTCATTACATTTTCAACGGCCAAATAATTAACTAAATTCTAGACACATGCACCAAGCAAAAGAAGACTTAATATTGTCTTATAATAACAGAATAAATTTTCAGTAAGAACTGATATTCTTGTAGCACATAAATTTAAACATGAATTACAAATATGTGGAATGGAAATGATAGATTTTTTTGCGAAACTTATTTAGAAATACTCTATTTTTCATTTATTTTTATTGCATATAGAATTTCATTGATAAAATTGAGACCTTCCAATAGTTTTTCACTCTATCTCGTAACCATGTCAAGGTCCTTACATTAAGATAACTGATAGTGGCTGGTCTTTAAATTAAAGATAATTAATATAGGCTTGATCCTTACATTAATAGTGGCTTTTATATGGAATCAACTGGCAAGGTTTATGGTTTTTCTAATTTTTTTCCTGCCGGAATCCCATACATAAAACTTTTTACCTCAGTAACGTTTATACAGGTCAATGCTGTTATCTGTAGCCTTAAACTAAGAATTATGCAGAGGTCTTTTCTTCTGCAAAGTTTATATTGGTCAATGCTGGTATCTGTGTGCTTAAACTAGGAATTGTAGGGCTTTACCCCGGAGGGAGCCCTTCCAGAAATTCTCAAAGGCCAAGGCTGAACCTTGGCCTAAGAGGGGATTTGGAAATAGTTTTCAACCAGCAATAGACGCGCCTCGGTTAGAACCTCACTAGCTGCGTCATTGCCCCAAGCGCAAAGATGCCTTTTCAATAAGATTTAGTTGTAGTTTTACAATGGACTCAGAAGGTTCAACTGCCTCTCATCACCGATGTGGGAGGAAAAAAAAGCATTGGTTGTTAAGTTCTGGTTCCAAACAACTAATAAAATTTTCTATTGAAATATCAACATGCGCAAATTTGTATGGCAGATATATAAGGTTTATCAGACTTACATGGAATAAACACAACCAATTTCGCAGAAGTAAAGGGTTCTCTTGATAGTGGAAGTCTCTAAAGAGGTTTCAGAGTTGCAAGTCTTTAAGCAATCTTTAGTGCACGCTTCAACATTTAGGCTACCATGAGACAAACATCTATTGGGACACTCTTTGGCACATATTTCATTGAAAGAGGCGGTAGACTGGCTTAAAAAAATCCCCAACACCAAAGAAGCCATCAAAATCAATTGAAATGATTTTTTCTCCATTTTCTTTTCTGATATATGCAAGAGAAGATATGTCAAGCTAAGACGAAAGCAGCTGAATCCCTGAAAAGGTTTGTATAGTAATTTTTGGTACCTAAACTGCAATTTGCCATAAATAGACATGGAATTAAGTGGATTACTTAGAGATCTGATATTCCTTAAAGAATGATAGATATGTAGATGTTAATGCTAGGATTAATTTTTTTCTTTCTTTCCAACCATTGAAAATGGCTACCCTATATATCACTTCAACCTTAATAAAGTCAACTTATATAGATAATTCTGAACAAAATCTAATACACCTCTTTCCTCGTTCTTTTTAGCAATATTATACAGACAAATGAAATTATGCACATAAACTCTGGTACACAAACTTCAGCTATCAGTTCATATCCACTCTTCCATTAATTTTACAACACATTCTGCTCGTAAATATTAAAAGAGCTTTCCAAAATGACAATTTTCATCATCTTTAAACTTTTTCCCCCTACATGATACCACCTGTAAGGTGGTTTAGACTTTTGAGAACAATTAAGAACAAAAAGGTCGATGAAAATAAATAGATTTTTGAACATTAGAAAAAGGATAATTAAACTAGATTTGGTAGGGGTGTGCCAGGCCCTTGCAGTAGTGCAACGCATGGGCGACACTCAGGGTTCCAGTAGCAAGCTACTGCGGTGAACCCTCCCCAGAAAAAATTAATTTAATATCATGTGAGACGATGTCCCACGTATCAGATATTAAACTGATAAGAACAGATACTACACTTGATCTTAGCCAAAAGGCCGAGAAAGGTATGCTTTTCTCTATCTCTCTATTATTGTTTTATACCTCTACTCTGCATTGTTACTTCTGTTGTTTTATCAATGTGGGAGAAAATAGACCAAACATTGATGCCTTATTCAAATTCATGCATTAATTTTTCGATTTAATTATTCTGCTAGTTTAGCAATTATAAAAGCTCTTTTTCAGTAATTACAGCCTGAAGAATTAGAAAGTAGTTACTGATTTTCTGGATTTATTATTACAATTGTATTGCTTTCAGTAGACTGACTTTGACTATGTATGTTGATTTTTATCATCTGAATTTCTATAAGGAAAGCTGTGCTTAACTGGACTTGTGATTTCTAGCCAAATCAATCAACATGAATTGCTAT